TCATTACATACCTCCAAACACCGCAATCATGCAGATCAAGGCTCTCCCCATCCTGGCCCTCGCTGCCACCGCCATCGCTACCGGCGAGCCAGCCCAGAAGCGCGACATCGGTGATGCACTGTATGTCCATGCATCTTCCATTTCCACGCCTCACGCACTTCAGTTGTCAGTGGCATAGAACTAACCATGTCTCCCCGCAGCTCCTCGCTCGCTGAAGGCATCCCCGAGAAAATCTCCACTGCCCTCGATGGCCTCGAAACCGGTCTCGACGGTCTCAAATCCGACATCGGTGCCGCTATCACCGGCTTTATCGACTTTCCCCCCTCCATCCTGAGCGATCTGGCCACGATCACCGGCCTCCCCACGCCCTCAAATTTGGAGGGGTTCCAGTCCCTCGCCAGCGACATCAACGACGGCACACCCCCCGCCTGGTTCACCGGTCTGCCTTCTGAGGCGCAGAGCTACCTTCAAAGCCAGGCCAGTGCACTCGCTACTGCACTCCCTACTGGTGACGGTGCCTCGCCTACCAGCAACCCCGGTGTCAGACCTACCGGTGCTGTTCTGGCCAGTATTGCTGGTGCCGCTGGTGTGCTTGGATTGGCTATTGCCCTGTAAATGGGTTAAGCCGTGTTGGATTAGGTCGAGCTGACTAGGACCTCTCAAGTGTGCTGGAGATGGTGTCTGGTGTTTTGTTCATTTTTCTTTTGTCATTTACTTCATGCCTTTCCAGCGATTCCAGCGTTCCGGTTTCCAACGACCGCAAGGAGTTGACGGACTGGATACGCTGAATTGTAGGAGAGAGGGGGAGATATATACCACCTATTGTACTATTTTACTGTAATTGCCTGATACCTTTAGTTGTTTGAGACCATGACAAAACCATGCCTTTATTAGAACCAAACGCGTCGACTTACAATTCTTTTCTCTCTTCCCTTCGAGATTAATAGTAGCTCACACGCTCTCAAGTCTTTCTTGTTCGCGGGACGAGCTGCATGTTTCCGTTTTCCCCCGCTTTCCCCCTAAATCGTTAATCTTACATACCACCGCAGGGATGGCTAGGATGTGAAACTGGGACGATGCCGTGGTGGTGAAACGCTTAAGTTAGTCCGATTGAGATGAGATATGAGCCAGGATCATTCGCGCATGGTCTGAAACAGCCGGGCAGTTGAGCAAAGCTGAATACAACAATAACATTGTGGTATCTCTTAAATAATAATAGACATACGGCAAAGAGATGAATGCGACAAGTTGATATCTCTGTTATTTCCCAACTGTCTTCTAGCAGCTTCTCACAGCAAGAAACGGATCTGCACAAATGGTTTGCCGCGTCTCCCGTGCCAAGCGCGCTCCCATAAATTTCGAAATTTTTCCACAAAACTTCTTCCCTTCCGCACAAATCATCCAATTCACCACAACGCCAAAACAACATTCAAAGCTTCCTCAGAGCTTCGTCTCTTTGGGGTTTGTTCACAATGCCATAGAAGCCGTCATAGCTGTTGCTCGACACGGCGACTATCGTCTGTTTCAATCATGCTCTAGGTAAGCTTCCCTGCCTCTCGTTCGCCCTCTTTGCTGTGATGATTGCTTTAAAACATATGAACAATCCAAATCCTATTCATCGTGAAGGACCTCCAGATCTTTAAGATCTTTCTGATATGCTATTGGCAACCCATTCGCTTTCTATACTGGGAAATGCCATTGATTGACTAACATGTCACTTTTTATAGGAATTTACTCGACTTTTAACTCCAATATCAACCACCCCGCTCCAACAAATATTTTGTAAAAGGTACGTTTGAAACCATCGCAAGCTATTTCCCTGCCTTCTCTTATACGCATTCCCTTCTATGATGACCCTACGACATGCAAAGGCATTCCTCAAACTTAATTTCCATGTGGAACCTGTCATACTTTTAAAGTTTCAGCCTTGTCTGACTACCCTTCTTCAATCGTATCATTTTGAAGCTCCTGGTTTTATTACAGAGTCCGAACAATGTTGCTAACATCGTTGCTCGAACTTTTAGGTATGCGATTGTCTGCTTTTTCTGCCGAGATATCCACTCGTCCTTTTTTCTACCACACTTTTCCATTCTTATGAAGAATACTTGAACGAACGGGCGGACAGAACTGCGTCCATCGCCCCCTCGTCCATTACAAGCAGAGCGTACAAACTCTGCGGGTGTTGGGGTGTTGGATTGCTTGTTGAGAATTCGTCAGCTGATTGCCATATACCGCCTTTGCGCGTTCGGATATCATTGCTATCTTGTCGAGGCATATAAAACTAACAAAATACCTTGCAGGTAAATTCTACTTTTCTCCGCTGGTTTCTTGGCTTTGTCCAAGTTGTTCCTCCCCAAGGCTGTCGTTCTATTACATGATGAACATTTATTCACACTGTTTGATCCGGACACCATTGTGTCTTGGGAATGAACGTACCTTACACTGAAAATTCTGATTTAATGAGGTATGTTATTGAGTCTTGCCCCTTTTTGCTTTATCTGTTGGAAACCCAAGCTAACCAATGGGCTCAAGCCTGACTTTAGACGACATGCCATTTGCTTTTTGAAAAATATTTGAAGATTTCAGCATCTTTTCGTGTTGGGCCATGGCTAATTCACCTGCGCGTGGATCTAGGAAACCCAACTAGATACCCGTAGTGTAAGCTTTTTATGACATCTCGGTATGTTAACCTCTTTCCTCTCTCTTCTCCTTTTTGCCCTTCGCCATATTACCTGATGAACTCTTAATTTCGCTGTGTTCTTACCGAGGTCAAACTTTGAAGATCAACATCATCTTGGAGAACTGATACCCATTGCCCTATCGAACTTGTTTTTTGTCACATCCTGTTTGCAAACAATGTCCGTTGCTAACATGACAAAGATGCAGTAGTAACTCGACTGTTCTTCCATCGCGTTTCGGGCTGCTGGGCAACCTTATCACCATATTTCCCGGGCATACAAATGTCAATTAGATAGACAAATGAAATATCAGATACATTCCAACCAACGTCCATCCATCCCCAACACGTAGAACCCCGTCCCCACGTAACAAACCACACACCCCAACCCTAACCCCCTCACTCCACCCAACCCCCATTCTTCTTATGATACCCCTCCAAACTCTCCTCCGGATACCCTTCATACACCACCTTCTTCCCCTCAGGCCACCTCGCCCACGGCACCTTCGAGTCCGCAAGCACACACACCATCTCCTCAGGCACAGGCAGCTCGGTATCAATCGCTGACGCGAACGGGTGGATCAGCTCGGGCCACTGCCGATCCCACAGCCAGAGCATGGCGCTGCAGTTTGAGCAGAAGTTTCGCTCCGAGGAGCAGCGGGATTCTTCTTTGCCTGGTTGGCCGCGGTTTTTGATGGCGTTGTATTTCCTGGTTTTGATGAATAAATTAGCATGGCCGTAAGCTGTAAAGTTGTAGCCGTCGGAGCATATAAGGGTTGGTTTCGATTTGATAACTACGTACTTAATCAACTCCTTCCCCTTGGTTATATTCAGCGACTCGGCGATGCCGCCCAGATTGACGGAGCCCATGTATCCGCCGACTTTGCGGCAGATGCTGCAGGCGCATAGCGCGTAGGGGATTGGGGTGTGGGATTGGAGGGTGAATTCGACGCCGCCGCATTGGCAGCTTCCTTCTAGTTTCCTTTTTTTTAGTATGTGGGTTAGTTGGGGCTTTTCTTTGTGGTTTTTGGGGTGGTGGTGGGAGGCCGGAAGTAGTGGTTATGTTTGCGGCTTCATTTTGGGCGGGTATTGGGGATGTGTTTTGGCTGTCCTTGGGGAGTATTATGGGAAGGGGTAGTCATCTAGACCAGCTAGAGTGAAACATGAGTGGATATATTACTCACATTGGCATATTTGCTGGACTTTCACTGCTCCGCTGGTGGGTTTTATAATGGCTTCTACACACAGGAAGTTGGCGCGTAAACACCTGTCTATTCGGATACATATATATTCCACGAAAGCCACGGATTCACAACAAGAAGCCTACCCAACTATTTGTCACTACCTGGCCTCCGGGAAACCATATGTGGATAGTATTACCCAACTATTTGTCACTCGCCTCCGGGAAACCATACATAAATACGGCACAGCTAGTATTATTCCATTCATCTCCCGTCCGCCTGAACATCGCTATGATGCTACTCTGACGTCGTTTAGGTCGGGCTGTTATCGGAGCGGTAAATGTAACTCCGGGCAAAGAAGGGAGATGGGCAAAGAAAGAGACAAGGAGGCGTCTCTAGGGGCTAGTTACAGATAAGTGAACTATAGCTCTCTACTGCCTGATCATATCTAGGCCGCATCGCCGTGCTCTTGTGGTTATCCATGAGAAGGTTGGCGCTGTGTGTTGACGGGTTGGGGTCAGCAAATACGGGCTGGAATATAAACCACTTGGGGCCGAGGGATTCCAACATCAGCCGCTGGTCGTCTAGTTGGTTTATGGCACTGGACTGTAATATCTTATCGCTATCCAGGTGTCGTCGGTTCGACTCCGACCCAGCGGAGGATTTATTTTTTTCCCTCTCCTTTTTTTTTATCTTAGTTCTATGAAAGAGGAGTTTGTTAGACACATTCAGTTCATGGGTTTCGCATGCCTCACCCGTTGAGTAGACCGTAATTTTCTTTTTATCTTAGACGTTCTTATGGCTATTTCATGGGACGAGAACCCGCCGCTCTTCCAGGCTGTGTGGGTGCTTTTGAATGCGAAGTTTATACGCGTGGACCTCCTCACTTGTTTCCTACGCTCTCGTGGGATCCTGTCTAGTATTCGACAAGACAATAGAAATAATTTCGCTTCTCGCAACGCCCAAATCCAATATATTATCCCATTTACTTGCCCCAAATGCGCACATAACCACAGATTCCGCTCACCACGGGCAAAAAGAAACGCCTCCCACCAACCCTCAAATACGGATGGTGTTGCTGTAGGTGGGCCTGAAGTTAAGCAAAGAAACAAAAAGAAATTAGAAAAAAACAAAAAAGAAAATCCGCTGGGTCGGAGTCGAACCGACGACACCTGGATAGCAGCTCACGTGATATTACAGTCCAGTGCCATAAACCAACTAGACGACCAGCGGGTTTTTATTGGTCAACTGGTCGACTTTGATGAATTACCTGCCTCAGGGTGCAAATTGGCCGTGTTTGCCTGGTTTGCACTGTTTGCATCCACCAACCAACCAACCGCGGGAGAATTGCTTCCGATCTGATATTGATATCAGAGTTGAGGGATACAGACAATTTTCGCCCTGTTCAACCAAGAGTATCTTTTTGCATTCATACCCGTTTTTTTCTCTTGGTGTGCTAAGTTCACCCCTCTTTTGACAAGGGCTATTCTCGTGATCAAACCATGAGTTTCGGTGGTCCCGGTGGTCGATCCGTCAATATCAAACCCACGCCGTAAGTAACCCATAACCCCCTTCTCTCAACTCCAGTTTATCTGTATATCCTGCCCTATCTAGACCTCCGCATCTCATTGCAACAGTAATACCAATAACTGACAAAAAAAATCCCAGACCTGAGCGTGGGAGCTTCCCACTTGACCATGACGGTATGTCTCTGCTCAATTCCCAGAGAATGATGAAACTCTTAATATCCCCCGCCGTCATGGCAGGCATGGGTTTGAGAATAAAAAAAAAAAAAAAAAAGAAATAAACCGTCCATCTAACCACAGTTACAAAAAAACAGGAGAATGCAAATTCGTCATCTCCTCATATCTCCAATGTCTCAAGAAAGGCGGCGGCGTCAACGATGAAGCCTGCCGCAAACTGGCAAAGACGTATTTGACATGTCGGATGGATAAGTAAGGGATCCCTCCCTCCACCCCTTCTTCTTTATTTTATTTGCTTGCTCTATTGAGAGACGAAGCTCAAGGCGTGTCTTTTTCTTTTCGTTTCTTTTCTCCTCCATGCCGTCGCGAAGAGTCATCACTAACCCATCCCGCCCACCCGCCCAACCTAGGAATCTAATGGCGCCAGACGAATTCGAGAATCTGGGGTTGGTGTTTGAAGGGGACGAGAAGAAAGCATCAATATCAGCGGCAGCGGCAGCGGCGGATCCTGCAGCTGCAGCGGCAACGTCAGAGTCGAAGAAGTCGTGAATTTTTTTTCGTTTCTTATGTTTCCTTTTTTTTTTTTTTCATATGATTTTCGCGATGAACTACTGTATATTAGATGGCGTTTTTAACGGAGGATTTTTTTTACTGCTTACTTTTAGAAGGGAACCTCCCCTCTGGATTGATTTGTAGTTGTATATAAGCCGCAGAGGCCCATGAGGTTGTTGGGTTAGGGGGGATTTTTCTAAGATTGGTTGGACCGGGTCGTTGGCATCATAAAGGGCTTATTCGCCCGACAAAGACACGTGGGATGGGAGAACCAGTAATGAATTCAGAACATGTCTATTCATTCTATATATTGTCTTCGCTCCGTATAACAGTGGCAGTCCCCGAAAACATATCTACCAATCAGCGCCCACCTTATCCTACATCGTAAACAACATGCTAATCAACCAACACAGCGCTGGAACTCATCCAAAAGCGTATATAGTAATTATGCCAAAAGAAGAAATAGCATAGACCCAAAAAAACACACGGACTACTTCAAATCATTCATCAAGTCCCTCAGCACCGGCCTGGTTGCCACAATCCTCGCCCCATCCAACACCTTCCCACCAACCTTCTCCGGCCTCCTCCTGTTCTGCCCAACAATGCCCTGTCTATTCCCAATCGGGCTCAGCGGCAGTCGAGGCTTACCCCTGGCAGGAGAAGCCGTACCGGAAATCTTCCGTATTGGACTCTTCGTCTTCTTCTTCGGACTAATAGACAACCGTCGAGGAGTAGAGGTAGCCCCCTTCTGCGGACTCAACTGCGTCAATCCACCATCAGGCGAATTGAAAACATGTCCCTCGACCGCCTTCGGGGGTAAATCATACGTCCACCCCCGTTCATCCATCAACTTGACAAATTTCCCTAGTAATTCAGTACCATCACGAAGAGTATTCTTGCTCCCAACAATAAGCAGCTTAGTTCGCGCACGTGTAAACGCAACGTTCACGCGGCGCCAGTCCCTAAATAGTTCGCCGACGTTTCGCTCCGGATTGCTACGCGCACAGCTCATGATAATAACTTCCTTGTCACGGCCCTGGAAGCGGTCTGCGGTGTGCATTTCTAGGTCCGGCAGGTGGTGGCGGAGGTGTTGTCGTAGGAGGGCGAGTTGGCTTCGGTAGAGGGTTACTACACCGATGTCGCGGGCGGGGATGCCCGCGGAGATAAGGGATTCGACAAGTTGCGTGCAGACTACCGCTTCGATGGGGTTGATGATGCGGGAGCCCTTGGAAGATTCTAGGGCCTGGGGGTCGAGGAAGTCAGTGTTGACGAGGCGGGTTTTCGCCACGGGGTCGACCAGATCGCGGATCCAGCAGTGGGCATATCGTGAGCCTAGACATGGGTTTCGAATATTGGAGGGAAGGGATAGTGTGTTTACGTGATGTTGTTTTAAGCCGTTGTTGAGGTTGCGGAGCTTGAGGTAGTTGGAGGCAACGGCTGGGGTGCCGCACTTGAGATGCCCGGAGTAGATAAGGGTATTGGAAAGGAGCATTATGTCTTCGCACATCCGGTATTGATGTTCCAAGTTGACGACGGAGGATGGATGCATATCACAAAGAAGCTTGAAGAGGCTGACATCGAGACCACCTTCCTGTGCTTCCTTATTCTGGACGAGCGGAGGAAGCTGATAGTGATCTCCAACGAGTATGAAGGTCTTTGCCATGCGAATAGGGCCTAAGCATACCGGAAGAGTGATTTGAGAGGCTTCGTCTACAATGCAGTAGTCGAAAGTGCGGTTATTAAAGATAGTATGGTTGATTCCCAGGCATGTAGTGGCCACGATCTTGGAATTTTCATAACAGTCCCTTAGCTCCTCGATCGTCTTTTTGGGAGTGGCAGCCAGATCAGCAAATTGCTGGACATCTGGGTGGACTTTCGCCTTGGCTCCTAGCCGCAAAGTGCGAATATTGTCGTCCTTTATCTTTATCAAGATATTATCAACGGCGGTGTGGGTGTAGGAGGTGAGCAAGACACTCTTGCCTTGTAAGACAAGGGTTCGAATAATATGGGCAATTGTAGTTGTTTTCCCAGTCCCTGGCATGCCCAATACCAAAGCATAGTCGTTTGCGCTCATCACCTTCTCAATCGCTTGCTTTTGGTCAACGTTTAGCTTCGCCCGGGCGATGTTCGAGATCAAGGACGAAGTTGCCGGCTTAAAGGAAGGGGTATGACCATCAATAATCAAATCTCTAAGCTGCCTGGCTCGAAACATATCTTTATCCATCATACAGACTAGGTTGTTTCGGACCGTGGCCATGCCGTTGCTAAATTCGTCCTTATCAAGCCGATATAAATTTGTGTCATCGGATTTTTCGGGGAAAATCGTCGATGTGCGTCCATTCTTCCCCACAATCTCCATGATTCCAGTAAAAGCCTGGTGTCGGCCTGCATCAAAATCAGGGCATCTCGTTCGGGAATTATGGAGCCTGCGGTCAACGGCGACTATAATTCGTTTACGGCTGATGTGCGTAACGTAACCATTGGCAAGTGCAAAATGCCCCCTTTCATCCGAAACAACTATAGGCTCCCCGACACTTATCTGTGAGTCTGAAAAGGAGAAAGACGGAGAAGCCTGGTGCTTGACAAACGTGTACCGGAAACGATTGATTTTTGGCCCATCGGTTTCTTCGTAGGCTGATCCAGGTTCAACCATGACATTGCCAAAGCAGCGGCCGACGCCTTCGCGCTCATTGCTCAGCATGGTCCACAATTCTCTTCGGAACTTCATCATATCCCTTTCTTCCATAGTCAATAGTGCATCCCATTTTTTAAAAAAGGTTTGGTGAGAAGGGGTGAGATGCCCGACAACCTCGAGGAAGTCGCTTCCCATGTCGCTTGTCTCACCGTCACCATTATCCATTATTTTGTGGTAGGTGAAACAAGCATTTTTGGCGTAGCACGGTTTGCATAGTCGTGCCTTTCTAAGCATGGGCGGTAGGCCCAACTTGTTGTGTACGAACCCCGCAAGCCGGTTGCGTTGCTGTATCATTTGACGGATTTCAGCGCGGATAGCACGGATACGCAGCGTCTTGGTTGCTTCCAGATAAAAGAGTATTCCGAAGGTCACATCGACATCTTTTCGTTGGGTCAGCAAATTATCGACGGGTTGGACGGGACTGAAACATACCATAACGATCAGAAAGGAGCAAAGTATACAACGCCGTTTGTGCCCTATGCGACTCGTTCGTGCTATTCATTCCCGTCTTGACTTCTAGCGGAACAGTAAGGGTTTTCTGCTCCGCGCCTTCACGGAGAACAACCTGGACGGTGGCATCAACATTCCCTTTTAATCCGTACATTGGAGACCAAATATGCTCTTCGACTTCTAGAAGCTTGTTGATACTCATTCGTGAACTGGAGCCGTTTCTGTCCTCCATGATAGATTCAGTCTGTGCGGCCGTTAGCAAGGATGACAATGGTTTGCTGGCGGACGGGAAACCCATACCGTAGGACTCGCACGGATGAACATGTCAGCCCATGCTCGTAGAGCTGGCATTTTGCTCATTAGGTGCTCCGTGGCTTCAGGCACCTCGATGTTAATCTCATATAAGCTTTCCACATAGTTCTCCAAAATACGGGAGATGAGGGTTTTCAACCAGTCGAGGTCCCAGCGATTTGCAGCCATCGCTGTCTGGAATATTTCGTGAAGAATATGACCGTAGACTTGATACTTGTTGGCTTGACTGGTAGCTTTAATTCGGTCCTGGAGGACAGCACGTCGCTGACACGTAAACGAATCCGCAACAACTGTTGCAGAGATAAGATGATCCGGATGGAGGACGATCATGTTGTCAGAGTTGTCAACCACGCATTGTCCTGCTAAATTGAAATTCCCAATGAGGTGAATATACGAGTCTTTGGTGCACGGGCTGTCGAACCATGATTCCCGTAAGATAATAGCCCGACTATTCTTCGTTTTCTCCTCTTGGACGAATAGTACCTACCTCGATATCAGCACAGGTCGGTAAGATTAGAACG